AGGGGATGAGAGGATCTGTTGTTACGATAGGTGGATAACTCTCTGTGGTTTGGATAATCCGCAAATGAGAAGAGTTCAGAAGTAACAAGGGTGAAAATGGAACTTGGGCCAAACTGAAATTCTGGCAAGGGATCCGAGCATCCATCTCTAATGTCCTCATTTGGCTCACCTTTGCCACATCATTAACATGGATATCAGCGCACCCAGCGACACAGCACTTCCCCCATCCACGGGCCACGACTGCAGCATGACTCGTCATTCCACCACGTGCCGTCAAGATTCCTTGGGCAGCATGCATACCTCCAACATCCTCCGGACTCGTCTCCGTCCGCACCTGTCATTTCATTTCCAGATAAAGTTATGAACACAGACGTTAATCCAATGCAGATTCGTTGCCGAAGCACAATGCATATCTCAAAGCATTTCGAGTCAGGAACCAGCGTTCAAGGGGCAAACCACGGACGATGTAACCAAGGGCAATGGACGACGCAAGGGCTACAGCAATGGAGGCCTAGATTAGCGTGGGTGAAGGATGAGGCAGTGGAGCTATCGATTAGCAAGGCTCTATACCCCCATTGCTTCCTATGATGGTCATTACAAGGGTCATAAATTAGCAAGGGATACACCAACAGTAGAAAAAATGGCCATCATAGGAAGACTACCGGTAGCAACAGATAGACAAGGATCAAGACTGAGCTTTCCTCCTCGCCTCTCGTTGGAGAAGAGAAGAATGTTCACTGATTTTTCACTGAAGCTTTCCTTTTCCTCTCCAATGCACCGCTTCAAAAATTGGGGAAATGTACACTTGCCAGAATTGCAGTAAATTGGGGGCATGTACACGCACGCACGCTTCAAATTTTCACCCTTGTTACTTCTGAATTTCGGTTTGGCCCAAGTTCCATTTTCACCCTTGTTACTTCTGAAAATGGAACTTGGGCCAAACTGAAATTCTGGCAAGTGTGTGGAACATGCACCGCTTCAAAAATTGGGGGCTGTCATCTCTTCTGCCTCTGATTGGAGAAGCCTTTCGCCGTACCTCCCTCCTTCCTCTCCTCCTTAAACGACACCATAAGGAGATCGGTTTGGGTCCGCTTTGTACTGTAAATTCTGTAATGCATTATGTATGTATTTACAAGAAGGTGCAGACAACACGACAGTGCTTCTGGGAATGGATGGAACACACACACAGTTCCATTCAGACTCAGGCGCCAGCTTTTTCAGGACTCGCATCACCGAAATGGGTACAGGCAAAGAACGGCCAGAGTAATCAGGTGAAGATGAGCGCAGCTTTATCAGGACTGGCATCACAGAAATGGGTACAGGGAAAGAGCGGCGAGAGTAATCACTGACCAGTAAACGAAAAGCATATCCTTTCACTCTTGGAGAGAATATGACAAGGCTCAAATACTCTTGAAGTTGCCATATCGACTCTGCTTTCGGTGGGACACTGGGACTAGGTAGCATGAATCTGCCAAGGACTGTCATATGGGTATCTACCTAAATTGGAGGCATGTACACGCACGCACACACACACACACACACACACACACACACACACACAC